TGTCAATATATCTTAAATGTTAAAGTTATTCACCCTTGTCCACACAAGATGGTTTAAGACTTATAGTTGAATTTTCCTACAGCAAGCTGAGCGGTCCTCACAATTTCATAGAATTTCACACCTCCATGCCTCCTAACATTCTTCTATTGCCTCGTGAGATCTACTGACACTCGAAACTTCTTCTTGTGTGTTTGGACCAATTGCATAAGGACCAAGAGTTCCCTAAAGTCAGCAATGATGCCAATAGACTCTGACCTTCGTCGTCATTATCAACAGTGGCGGCAGCACTTACGTACAATCGAATATTTTGCACGTTAGGCCTTATCAAGCCCGACATACAAGGATTCCAAGTTTCACATACAAACTGTCCAGGTAAACTCTTATCTATTGAAGTGCTCTGACCTCGTTTTCGATACTTAGTCGTGTTGTCAGGGTGATCTAGTTGGACGCACCTTGTCCAAAGTCCTCTGCTATAGTAGTTATGATAATTCCCAGCGTCAGACCGTGGACTTGGTACATTCAAAGACGCTTCATCAGCATCATAGTCAGCATCGTCAGTGAGTCTTGCCACTCTTAGCACCAGACTACAACTCTTCAAAGACACAGATGAAGTCAATCCCTTGACTAACTTTCTACCAAACAGTTGTATCATAACTTCTTCTTTTGTCCTAATACATGTACCTACTTGGTATACTTACACCTCGCTCGTTCCCCAAACAAGTCAGAAGTTGTGATAGGCAAAGTGTGAGATACGAGGATAGGAAGAGGGTGGATATACCATCACAGAATGAAGAGTGACTACACAACTGTTTGGCGCAAAGTTGTTCAAGGGATTAACTTCACTTGTCTCTTTGGCGAGGCTGTGAATTACAACTACTATTGCAGAGGACTTCGAACAAGGTGTGTCAAACTGGGTCACCCTGACAACACGATAAATTATCAGAAACGAGGTCAGACTGCTTCTACACAGCTAACTGATACTATGACCAAAACAGAGACCAAAACCTCTTGATATTATATCTATTGCTTTCTAAGGTCTCACCAAATTAGACACAACCCTATAAGCATAACAATCTTTGTAAAACTCTGCTATCGATAGAGGATCCGAAAATTATCAAAAATAATGCCTTACTGAACAAAGTTTTGGCTTTTCTTTTTTCATTTTCCAAGAAATTCCCTTTATTCTAGTTCATTCTGGCAAATTCAACAATCACCCTTAGTGGTCTAGGTTGGCCTAAGTTCTTATCCAGTTTGCCCTGATCTTCCATACATATTCCAATCCAAGGGTATCATGACTTATCCCCATTTTTGCCTGGCAGATTTTAGTCGACCTAATCTGACTTAAGTTGTCATCCTCTATTACTCCATAGTATATAGAAGTATTCATTTCCAACATAAAAACCTCTCATTCTCAACTGGCATGTTCGGCTGGCACCTTTCTCTTGCTTGGTGCCGGCAACCCAATGCACTAGCCACGTTCTTTTATCGCCCGGTTGGTCGTGATCATAAGTAGCTCGTTTGTAGACTATCGGCGACAATTTTGTCTCGTCTTGTTGCGACCCACGATGGCTCCAGTCTCGTGAGCCAGATCCGGTCTGATCTACGTCGCTGGGCGGGCTTTGCAGGACTTGGAACCTCTTCACAGGTTGGCCGAAGTCGGGCCCAGAGAAACTCGGACGACCCAGTCAGCCCAGCGACTCGGCAACCGGGAGGAAGGAGGCTGGAGATGACGAGGCCTGATTATTTAACAGATCTCAAGGTCTTGTGTTTTGTGCTGCTTACTACATGGGTCCACTACACGAGCACTCGTTGCCACCCCCTTGCCGGCCCTCCTGTTCGTTTAGCTTCATTCAACCAAGTCACGTTGAATTTATTTTAATCGTTTCTACACTTACGAGCGACAACATGCTTGTGACATGGGCTCGTGTCGGCATAGTTGACGGTCCAACCTGCGAGCCTAGGACTGGCCAAATCTCAGCAACGGAGTCCGAAGTCTCAAGGTCTATCAGCTCGTCTGGCAAGTACTATATATATATATATATATATATATGTGTGTGTGTGTGTGTGTGTGTGTGTGTGTTTACAACCCGCCTTTGGGTAGTCGTGGACTGCTTACCTTCAGATCTGTTAACCACATCTCGTGTTGTCTAATGCCACATGAAACCACGACCTGTGCAGAAACCCTGTTGGATTTCGCCTCTCCCGAATGTTCTGATGTCCTAACGACAATGTACCAAGTGGTCGCATGCTTCTCCGTCTTGACGGCCCGGCCTGAGCATACCGACGCTCCTCTTGCTGTTGCCCTGCCTACAATGTACACACTCACTCCATCCGTCTGTCGCTCTTTCTCGCTCGCTCTTTGTGTGTGTGTGTGTGTGGCTGGGTGGGTGGGTGTCATACAATCCACCTCGTTGAATGATGAGTCTAGGGACACAATCAGGTGCACATATCAGGTCCCAGTCTATTGCTGATCTGATGCAGACAGAGCTGGCTAGATTAAATGTTCGGTACATCAAAGCACTTGAGGTCATGTTTTCTCTGCGTGCCATGTTATGCTGATTAGGTGTAGCGTCGTCCTGGGCCCACTCTCGGAGGTCGTCTGCTCAGGGCGATCCAACTGGACAGCTTGTGCCGCCTGGTCGCCTGGCGACATGAAGCCTCGCTTTTAGGTACAACTGCTCTCCATTTTCCCTCTTCACCGGAAGCCTCAGGGCTCGGGGGAACACGTCTGGAAAGCCACTTCAGCCGGTCTTAGTGATTACTTCCATTTCGAGTAGAAGTGTTGGGTGAAGAGATTCGAAGGTCGGTTCCACCAGAAGACGAC